GCTCCCCCCACCCGCGGCCGCCGCGCCAACGGAGGGCGCGCCGAGGCGCCGCGCACCGCTCATTGGCCCGCCCGGCTCATCAATCCCAGGTATTGTAAAGCGCTTGACATCCCCTTTTGACAAACAGGGCTGCCAGGAGTAGCAACTTTTTTTTAGCCAATTTTTTTCTCCCCTCTTCTCACGGAAAAAAAAAAAATTGCCACAATTCCTTTCCAGCAGTTGTTCTCTTTCTCTCTCTCTCTCCTCTTTCCCTCTTTCCCTGTCTTGCTCTCCCTCTCTCTCTCTCTCTCCCTGTCTCTCCCTCTGAGTTTCTCCGTCTTTCCTTTTCCTTCAAATCTGCTCCTCAAAGAGCTATTAGTCACTACGAGTGTCTCCAGGAGCATAAGAGGCGGGGATGGGGCTGGTAAACACAGCTAAGGCACTTCCAGAATGTCCCGATTCAGCAACTTTCTTGTCTTTCTTCCTCCTTTTTCTTTCTTTAAGGACAGCAGAGAGGGCTTTTGTTAGTTGCTTCTTTTGAAGTTTGCTTCTCTCTTGCCTTGACCCCCCCCCCCAGTTTATAATTTAAGATCTCGGGAGCACGTGAACACTCCCTTCTCCCTTTAAAAGTGTTGAGCTTTCTCAGGGTAACCGCTTGCCTCGAATTCTCTCTCATTTTTATCGACTCAGCCAGGCATCCTGCGCCCTCTTCGCGCCCTCCCCAAAATAAATACAGGTGCATGAGAGTTCCTAACTCTCCGCTTTATGGAGCTTTCTCTGGTTTTGATGGGAAATTGGAAACCTTATGGCTGGTCCCCTTTCCTTGTCCCTCCTTCTCACGTTATTGCCTCCCTCCTTTCTCCCATCTCCCTCTTCTCCCTTGGCTGCCCCTGCCAATCTCTTTCCTCGCAAGCCCTGTTTCCAGTCGAAGGCCCCATTCATTCAGGTAAAACTGTAAATTTCCCAACGCCCCATTGTTTCTCTGGGCTGCCCCAAGCTCCCTAGAGACCCTGGAATACTTTTTTTTTTTTTTTATTTAAATCCCCGGTAGATAGGACCAATGTAAATTTTGTGACATTCAAACCTTTTCTAGTTCACAAATCAGTCACCCTTGTCACAGTTATTGAAATTCCGCAACTCGCCACACCAGGACGGTGGAAAAAGCGGGCGCGGTCTTTGTTGCCGACCAGGCTTTTGATCGCCAGAGAAAATTTACTTACCTTCAGATGAGTGAGCAGAAAAAGAAATAACACTCCCTTTGATTTAGTTAGGAAAATGCAGACATTTGGATTCAGTGCAAACATACAACACTCGCTTGTTTTCGCGAAGCGGCCCTCGATTAACCTGTCTTTGCCCAGCGCAAAGTCTATTCAACAACTGCGCGTAGTTGCTTTTTGTCCCATCCACAAAGAGCCATTGGCTATATATTAAAATGATTGTTGAAAGGTAGAGAAGTATGCCACTTAAAAGCAAGGGGAAAAAAATCCCTGTGACTCAATCAATTAAGCGGAGCAACATTTATGCATTTTAAAAAAAAATGCTCACAGATGGGGGGGGTGGGGGGGTTGGGGGATGAAGGTTGCATGGCTCCGGAGCTCTGTTTAAAAACCCAGCAGCTCGGCCGAGGGTTTAGCCGAGGCGTCTGCATATTCATTAGGTCTAATTATTTTCTAGTAAGGAAAACACAAAAAAGCCAAGAGTCGGAATCCTTCAATTTACCCTTTGTTTCTAACTTCATTTGGCTTCTTTGCAGCTGATTCACAGTCCTAAACTCTTTTTCCAGACAAAGAAACCTCAACTCATCCTTTCACAGGCGGCCCCGTTAGGAAACTCAGCAGCGCCCAGCGAGAGAAAAATGAAAATGAATAATTTTTGCCCCAGCGCCCTCACTGGTTGCGCGGGCTGGGAGAAGGGAGGGCCGGAGTTGGGCGCTCCTTACCTTCTTTTCTGGTCTTTTCATGGACTAGATTTAGGTTTGTGGTTGGGGCTGCCGAGCTGGGCTAGGTTTTTCCGTGTTCTGTCTTTGGCTCAAAACCTGACTTTTGTATTCCGAATGTTTTCCTGGTATCTAAAAGAACCTGGCTGAGATTTTGCACCGGTTTGTGCTGGGACATAGAAATTCGAGAAGGAAAAAGAAAATAAAAAGGTGAAATTCTCTGTCCCCAGCAACAAGTCTGAGTCCAGCCACACACATCATTCCTCACCAACTTTGAATGGAGGAGAGAGAGGGGACAGAAGGGGGGGGAGGAAGACTAGGCGCTAAGAGTTTGGTTGTTTGAACTGTTCTTTACGGATAGATCTAGAGACACTGGGACCACTCTGAGTCTTTGCTGCTGTCTGGAAGGGGAAGTTGAACTCATGCAGTTGGAAAACCTCTAGAAGGAGAAGTTCCTCTCCCGAGGCTGTTCTGCTCTCACTGTGGAGGACAATCCACCTTACCTTGCCTTGTCTTTCAAGAAAACAGGGCGGGTGGGGGGCGGCTTCAGGGAGAGAGGACACTGCTGGGAGAGAGGAGGGCAGAGAAAATAATTCTGGGAAGAAAAAAAAAAGTCAGTTCTCTCCTCTCCAGTCTGTGGAAAATCCAACGGGGATGTTCACAAGAGAGTATTTTTAGGAAACGCGTCCAAATGTACAGGGTAGAGTGAATGGGGGGGGGGGGAAGTTGTGGGTTGTAGAAGTTATCAAGTGGGATTTGCGGTGCTCTCTGCAGGAAACGCGAGCGGCTCCAGTTCAAAGCCACATGCACCAACGTGACATATAAGCCATTAAAATATCATCCTGGCGGCTCGTTTCAGCTTCATCATACATTCCCTAACTGCTTCCCCGAAAAGCTGGAAAAAGAGAAATGAACGATGACCGCCTTCCTGGAACCACAAAAGAGAGGTCTGGAGGGCTTTGTGGTCCCCCCTCAGCGACCCCGAAGTGATGTACAGAAATGAGGTGATCCTGGCAACAGGTGGAGAGAGGTAAGTGCTTGAATCCAGAGGCAGCCTGCACCTCATGAACCCCCTGGCGGAGCAAACGCCCTTAGGGGACTGGTGGGACCCAAACCCCAGTGGGGTAAGAGGCCCAGCCAGGCTCTCTCCCCTCCCCCCTCCCCCGTTAACCCGCTAACGGAGGTGCAAGCCCCACCTCCACTGACAGTGAGGAGAAGAGGGGGGTCTTAGGCAGAGGGGCAACGCAGCAGACTGTTCATCTCTTCTTCCCAGGAGTGGAGGAAGGGGCACAAATGGGGCTCCCATTGACACAGAGACCAAAGGCGGTTTGCTGCCCTCGGGTCTACCCTTCTCTCCTGTAACTGCCCCAGGTACCCTCGTGGTTCAGAGCTGCCCTCACTTCAAGTGAAAAGGGCTTACGCCTGGAGGGGGCTCCTTCTCGGCCCTGCCCCCTCTTCGGGATGGCTTCCCCTCCCCAGGATCAAAGGAGCCCAGTTAGTAGGCCAGGCTGACAGCAATATGATGGAACTTCGCCCCAGCCCGACCGCGGATGCAGGCTGGGCCCAGTGCCCGGCGCTGCATCTCGCCCTCCGCATCCTGGTCCTGCCTCAGGACACTGACCCTTGGGATCTGCTCTCTACATGCAGCTGGTCGCGGCTTCGGGACTTGGTTTTCTTTCTCGAGGACGCGAATGAAGGCTGGGACTCTATCTCCCTGGGGAGCAGGCCAAAGCGCCAGCCGCTTCGGACTTGGGAAGACAGGGAGAGTGGAAATGTGGGGACAAGGAAGGCGGGAAGCAGCGTCTGGCAGTGACAGAAACCCAGGACTGGCTCAGAGGCTTGGCCAGGAAGTTAGGGTTTGACAATGGCCCATGGGGACAGTTGGAAGCCACTTTGTCTTAGGAATGGAGACCGAGGTGTTGGAGAGCTGTCTGTCCTCCAGCTAGCTCGCCTACAGGAGACACCCAGCGGATTTCGAGGTCATTATTTCTTCCCCTTCTGACTGTAGTGGGTTCTCAGAGGCCCACGCTGCAGCCACATCTCCCCTTCCTCTACCCCAGCCGCCTGTAGATAGAAGGAGGGTGCCTCAGAGGAAGATGAGCGTCTCCGCTGGCTCCGCAGCGCATCCACTGCCGCAGACGCCAGCGAGAGAAAGCGAGGAAAATGAGAAAAGGCTCTTGCACAACCTAGCCTCGCGTCACAAGTCTTAGTGCTTGAGGGCCTGCGAAAGAGTGGCTACGGAGGTTCAGGGGGACGGCGGGGCCGTGGCCGACCGCGGGCGCCAGTCGCTCCTGCGCGCGTAACCAGCGGGCCCTGCTCCGCGCAGCGGTCGGGCCGAGCCGTGGCGGAGAGGCCGCCTCGCCTCTGGGGCGCCTGGCTCCACTGGGCTAGCTGGTTACTATGTGTGCGCCTGCACTGAAGCCTGGAGCCAGAAGCTGCCGCCTTGGAAAGTCGTGTCTTGTGACCTCTGACCTTGGCCAGGCCTGCTCTCGCTAACGTGGCTTCACTACGTGCAATCTGGGCCTCTGCTTTCGCTCACAGAAAAACGTGCTGGTAGCACGTACCCACCCCCTTTTCTTCTCTGCTCTCATCCTATACGATCAATCACTGAGCCTCACTGGCCACCCTGTCCTCTTCCCAAGGTGGGGTGGGGGGCGGAGAGATGGATCCCACTGAATCTCTCCTACTCCTTCCATTGGTGATTGGAGATTCAGTGGCGGCAGACTGGTGTTGGGAGAGAGTCTCCGGAGAGAGATAACGTGGGAATAAAGCAAGCCAACCCTGTGGCAGGTCTTCAACACCAGAGCTTGGTGGGACCTCAGTTCCAGGACCCAGGGGCTTTCCTTACATTTTCTTACTCATCTATTAGTGAGGTGACTGGATTATTAACTGGTGCCAGGGTTTGAATCAAAGAAGAGACTTCCCTAGCCCCTGTCCCCACAGGCCGGGTTAGGGTAATACCTGCTACTAAGAGCAGATTAAGGAAGGCCCCTTTGCCTTGTATAGTCCTTTTTCTGGTCTTTTCAACATTTGTTTGCATGCCTGAAGGTTTGTGTTCGCCAAAGGGTTGCCAGAACCTACGGGTAGAAGTGGCCCAGACCTTTCAGAGATCAGAAAGAAGCATCATTGTGGGTGATAAGAGTGGACACACATCTCTAGGAAGCTCATACCCATTTCCCTTGGAAGCGGAAAAAAGTAAATTCTATTAGCTCCAACCAACCAGGATTTTTCCTGTGCCAGACATCCTGCCATGAGGACATTTCAGACTGAGGACGCCCAGCATGTCACCCTTCTGTAGGAATGCAATGTTGGGCCTCCTTTCTTTCCTGATTTGTGCAGGAAGGAGCTTATTACCTTTGGGGAAGGATTCCTTTTGGTTAGAAAGAATTGAAAATAAGTAAAACCCTCTGGGAAAAGGTGAGTCTGCCCACACTCCATAGACTAGGACCAAGCAAAGAGATAAAGAAAGGTGAAAGCAGCCAAGCTAGTTCAAAGGCAGGCAGAGGACAGAGAGGGAAATCTTCAGGCATAGAAAATTGGAAACCCTTTGAGACAGCAAAGTCCCACTTGGATTTGGCCTATGGTTCAACAAGTTAAACAATTGCTTGTTCTGTGGGATGGAGTGTCAAAGACAGGCAGACGTCCTCATTGACTAGGAGGCTTGTGTTTGTCCAGCTTGAGACCTTTTCAATGACTGTTTGTCTTTCTAGGCCAAATTGAGGGTCAGGGCTCGGAGGATGGCCTCTGTTTAGCTGTGCCTGCCTGGAGCCTCCCCTCACAGAGGCAGAGGTCCCCAGGATGGTTTTATAAAATGGGCTTTAAAATTACCTAAGGCTTGGTAGTTCTAGCCACATGACCAATCTGAAAGGGAACATGTATTTTACAGGGTGTTTCTTTTGACTTTCTCAACTAAGATATGGTGAGAGCCAGGATCCAAGGATGAGAATTATGCCTGTTTTTTGTTTACTGTTTCTATTTTGTTCTTTTTCTAGTCTGGTTGAATATTATTCTATTACTAACTGGGGTGGGAGAAGTGGGAGAATCAATCAGTGATGATTCCAAAATTGGTTAGTGGTGTGTGTGTGTGTGTGTGTGTGTGTGTGTGTGTGTGTTGGGGGGGGCGGTCATATGGTCATATGAGGCTAAGGGATTCTGCATCACCAAAGGGCAAGAAAAGCTTTTCAAAGCTTCAGAAAAACTCTCTTTTACTCCAATCCTTACTTTTAACATGCTGACTTTCCCCTCTTTTTTATTTTGTTATAATTGTTTTATGTTTGAAAAATATTGTTTGTTTTGTTTAGCTTCCCAGTCGACGATCATCTCCTTAACCTGATTAAATCCCAGCCAATTCAACTCATTCAAGTCTAGTGGGACATTTCATAGTATAAATTCAACTGTGAGGTGTTTTGGTGTTTGTTTTTTTTTTTTTTAAATTTAGCATCCCTGGGAAAGAGGGTTTAATTCTGCTTGCAAAGTATAGCTACAAAGTGAGTTTCAGGTAAAAAAAAATGTACTTGAGAAATTATGATTTTTAAAACAAGGATGTGTTTTTGTAATAAATATGGACTGTTCCCAGCGGAGTCCTTATTATTAGCTACCAAATTTGAAAATAGTAAAAAAAAAAAACCAAAAAACAAACCCAAAACCCCCAACCAACTTGTAAGAAACTTTTTAAGCCAACATCTTCACTTGAACATTCAGGTGACAATTAAGCATCAAATTGTGAGCCTCATCACTATCTGTCCTTTTTTTTACTTCCCAAACAGGATCAAATTCAGAAAATGAGATACAAAACTTCCTTGGTGATGAGGAAAAAGTTACGGCTTTACCGAAATACTTTGAAAGACTCAAGTAAGTTAAAGTCTTCCTCTTTGAATATTGGTTTTCTGAAGTTTCATTTTTAGGTATATTTTTTTAAACTAAGGAGTTTTCTTTCAAATTTTACTTATGTTAGGTTGTGAGCATGGGGTATTTCTTGTCTTCAATGAAACTTGAAGCAACACCTTGGTGTTTGATGCATTTGCACACAAATCAGCAACACAACATCTCACCAGCAGCGGGCTAATCCCCCTCAATGCCTACTTCTCTGGACGTTCCAGAATTAATATTTGACTACTCTTTCATTGAAACAACCACCCCTGACCTTCTGCAGCACCACTGTCACATTATTCTATGACATATTCATCTTGAATTCATTTCCGGACGATTTGATTGGAATGAAGTTTGACATGTATTGGCTTCTATGAAAGGAACAGACTTTGATCTTGGTGATGGGGTTTACATGATATGCATCATCTTTACCAGGGACACCAGCCTTCTGCAATGTGGTGGTGACGATGTTCCCACAATGTGGTGTCTGAACAGGGAGTGACTGACAGCCACTCTGTCAGGAATACCTTCATTGTGAAGAATTTAATTTAATATTCCATTTAGAATAAGCATATGATTTAGGGTTGGGTGTTTTCCCTTCCAGGCGTCGAGTTTCCTTTATTTCAACTACACCACCAGCTGATGATTGTATCCAAAGAGGTTCCCTTGATGCTAGGCAAAGCATCCCTCTTAACAAAAGTTAAATGGGCAACTCAGGAAGTGTCTCTTCTATTATTTTGAGATGATTTGATGGCAGAAGTCTTTAGAGAGATGTGGTTATTATGTAAATTCAGTTGTTTTGATTCCTTAATGCTGTTCTGGAAGATCCTTTAGCAATATTTTTTAATCTTTTGTCAAAAGACATTTCCCAGAACCCTTGCTTGGAAATTAAATTCTAGCCAAGTGTATATTCTTCTGTACTGAGTTACATTAATAAAAATCATTAAAACCAAAATTTCATAGCAGAGAGAAGAATATTCTCCCTTATCTTCTAAATGCTGATAGATGTCATCTCCTTTATACAATTTAAGATAGGACATACAGGCTGCTGGGACTTAGGCTATTTCTTTTCATAAAACAATCTCCCATTGCAGAAATTTTGAAGTTAGTCTGTTAACAGTGTAGGAAGAGGTTTATCCCTTGGTTTTGGCTGGTCACCTGGTAAGCAAGGATTGGGCAAGAGAGTGAGATCAGATGCAACAACAGGTTCAGAAGGTTGTGCTTTGCTAGGTTCTGTGCGGGTGGCTCTCAGCTCCCGGGACCCTTCTCTGAGCAAACTTGCAACAGATCAGTTAGTATTGGTTAAAGAATCACAATGGAAAATAGCCTACCTATTTAACAAAAAGTCTCCCTCTATTGGCTTTTGGGTTTTTTTGTTTGGGGGAGCTGTGGGGTATATTGTTGGGCTTTTTTCCTTTCCAAAGGAGAAAGGGCAAACATTCTTCCATTTGAGCCAGTGACGTGAACAACTTTGACAAATCATAGGACCACTAAATATCTAAGGTGGATTAGACAGTCACTTTAGATTATGCTATTGCAGTGATCTGGCTGGCACAGGTGAAGGTAAGTAAGATTTGATCCTGTGCCCTGGTCTGAGATGCTATCTGAGCAGAGAGATGTGGCGGAGCTAAGGCAAGTAATATCATTTTGTCTTTGATAGTGAAATATACTTGATAGGCCCTCATGAGATCCTACAGTTGTTTTTGAGCTCTATCTGAGGTCTCTGAACAAGAGAGTGAAGTCCATGATGCCATAGGCCCCAGGTGTCATTGAGAATAGAATACTGCAGTCAGACTTTTAGTGTTGAGAAAACGTTCTTAAAAGAAAATTCTGTAAAACACTGAGGGCATAATGCGCCTGCCTAGTTGGAGAGGTCCTGAATCTTGGATCCTTGCTCCGTGGAAGGCCCCAAGGAGATTAAAATATGCCTGGCTGACACTGGTCACTTATCACCTATTGTTGGTTAACTGCACACTCTGGGTTTACTTTAGAGATAGACTTCAAAGATCCTTATGCAATCTCCAAAGTTTCCTGTCTATAAATACTAGGGGAAGAAGTGATTTTTTGTGTGGTAGTCCCTGAGGGAATCTTCTCCTGGGGAAATGCCTGGTCCAGTTGCTGTATTTAGCTAAGCAAGTTCTGAATCCTGTGGCTCCAAGGAGCTTTCAAGAGTCAGGCAACCTCTGTGACCTGGAGGTCTGCTGACCCCTAACTCTCAAGAAGCATCTACTCAGGATGGGTCCAGATGTTTCCAAGACTTCTAGAGAAGGCTGCATCTGGGAAAGCACTCCATGAGGCCAGACTATTGTCGGTGATTTTGGCTGAATCAGATGTGTCTGCCCTTCTGATGCTGGCACAAAAAGCCATGCACATGTTCAAAGCTTTTCAAGGGCAAAGTTAGTAGCAGAGAGTGTGTGGTGTACTAATCGTCTACATATATATATTAACTACTTCTTACCTGTGTAATGCATGCAGCCAGTTAAAATTTGATCCATTAACTTCAGTGGGGAAATAATATCTTCATTTTCAGTACCTTAAAATTGAAGTTAGGTTTTGAATTTGTTTTCCTGTTGTGAATGTGGGTAATGTGGGCAAAAAAAAATCCAGGAAAGTCAGGCCCTCACTAACTTCACCAGGCTTCAAAAGCGGTCACAGTGGTCACAGCGTAGAATGTCCTATAAGATGACATTCCCTTCCCCCTCTGTTCCCTACTATAATTCAAGCTCCTGATAGGTAAAGAGGGAGTCAAAGTCTGTGTGTTAAGAGATCAATTTTAGTGCAAATGAGAGCTTCACTCAAATGAAAGGGAATGATGTGTTTGAAAAAGATCCTAAACAGTGTTAGTTGCAGAGTATTTTGGTTTTAGAGAGAATACAGAAAATATTCTACCTGATGGACTACTACAGAAGTGCCCCTTACACTGAGACCCCAAAATGCCACAATGAGCAAAATTGGCTAGTCTTATTGTTGAGGGAGGGATAGGAGAAAGAGATAGGCAAGAAGAGCTCAGGGAGGAAGCTGGTCAGATTTGGGGTTGATTTTGCTTTACTTTTTGTTTAGTTTTCCATGGGTCCAATCCCTGATGGCACAGACAAGCGCATGGTTGAGCAGATACCTGCACTGGGGGTGCAGATGGGGGAAGGCTCTCTAGAAACCAGGCCCTAGGTCTCTTGGGGGGAAAAAAGGAAACAGAGCTAGAGGCTAGCAAACATGAAACTCTAAGAGGCAGAAACAACAACCCAAAAGGTGAGAAAGTTAGTGAGTGTGAAATCTAGGAAAGGAAAATGAAAGAGAGAAATTTCTGGTTTTGTGAGCACAAGGGAAGGGTTCTGGCTGACAATCACTCTCTTCAGCCTTTTATTTTGTTTTGTTTTTAATGCTAAGGCAGTATCTATTGGTGGCGTTGCTTAAGCTCTTCCGGCCTAAGGAACAGAAAGACCCGACTTGTCAGAAACGAAGGAAATAATTGTGGAAGTTAATCCCTCGCTGAACCGCTGCAGTAAAGAGAGCCCTAGCGGGGAACAATGCATTAAATGAAGAAAGTCTCAAAGAATCTGCCAACCATTATACATAAGTCAATTATTTTTAACATTTAAAAGAAGCCCTTATTGACTGACCAGGAAATATGTGAGAATAGTCCTTGGTTCTGGGAGTAGGTAAAAGGCAGCTTAATCAATTCCAATAAGAATTCCTTATAATCTGCTCAAACTTCTCGCAGGAGCTGATGGGGTAGTGGATCTTCTACTCCATACTTAAAACTACTTTTAAAAATCCGAGTCTTTCTCTAGGAACACTTGCAAGGAGTCCCGGGTATTTGGGCCAGCATTTTCAACTGCAGAGGGTTAAGACAGGCGTCTGGACCTGCAGCCCTTTAAAGCGCAGGACAGTGTAGCGGGGCCCCAGCCTGTCCACCACACAAAGACACTCCCCTGTTTATACCACACTTGGCTGGGTCAGAACTGAAGTTCCCTCCACTGCTCGCTCCACCCCCTCGGTGACTCCTGCATCCTGGAGAGCGAGGCCGCTCTGCATCTTGAAAGTCCTCTCTGAGCTTGGCCTGGGCAAAGTGTGTCAGCACGGCCCTGGAGGCTAGCGGGGAGGGAGGCAGACACTGGGTCCAGCAGCAACAAGTGGCCAAAGCTGAGTGTGGAAGTGTCCCCAGCTCCCTTCCCCGAAACTCCTCCTGGCAAGCAGGCAGAAGCGGAGGCCCTCAGACACGAGAGGACCTGCCCTGCCCTGGTGTGGGTCCTTTTTCTTTGTGAAGCCTCCTGGCCCTGAGAGGCAGGAGGGGGGGGGGGTCTCGGGGGGGTGTGTGTGTGTGTGTGTGTGTGTGTGTGTGTGTGGTAGGCTTAGAGACTTTGCAATGGTTGGAAGCCAGTTTTTTTTCTGGTTTGAGGTCACTTCTGCCCCAGATCAGGCCTGGAGTGTTGGGCTCTCACAGCTCTGAGTACCAGGCCGGCGTGGGGGGCCAGGGTGGTGGTGGAGATGGGCCAGTGAGGCTAAGAAAAGACTCAGAAGAATGAGGGAGTGACGGGAGGGAGTAGAGAGAAAAGGACCAAAGAGAGAAGACGAAGTGCAGCATCAGAGTTAGAAGAAAGAGGATAGAGAAAGAAACTCAGGATACTTGGAAAGAGAGGCACATTGGAGAAAAGGAGGAAATAAAAGGAGGTTCTAGGACCGCAAGCCTATTTGTCTCTGGGCCCCAGCCGCCTACATGGCAGCCGTCTTCTGCCCTGGCCCCCACGCTCTCGGTCGTCGTCTCTTCCCAGCCCCGGGGCCCCTCTGCGCAGCCAGCGGTCTCCCCCGCGAGCGCGGTGCTGGTCCCTCTGCGGCCTGGCTAGGAGGGATGTGACTCCCTGCGCCCCGCACCTCCCCGCCCCCTGAAGTCGTTGGGGACGCAGGCTCAGCTCGGCCTTGCTCACTTCCAGGAGCAGCCGGGCCAAGTGGACTTACCCAGCTTTGGGAATGGGGGCGCTGGAGGGAGAGGCGGGAGGGAGGGGCAGGGGGGGAGGGGAAAGGGAGAATGAATCGGTGCCCGGGTCAGGGTAAGAGCGCATGAGCCGTGGAAGCGTGAGATGTGTGTGTGTGTGTGTGTGTGTGTGTGTGTCTGCGTGCGGCAGGACCTGTCATCGCTGACGTGGGGCCCGGCTGCGGGCCAATGGGCGACTTCGGTGATTGTTCCTCTCTGCGGGGCCACAGCCAGGGCCCCGGAATCTCTTTTCACTCCCTCCCGCTCCCCGCTGCTGCCTCTGTAGTGTAAGGGATTTCACGTAGGCATTAAAAAATCGACAGAAGGCGGGGGAGGAAAGGCAAATCTCAAAACTTGAGGTGGGGGGAACCCCCCAACTTTGCAGAAGTTTTTTGTAGTCGAGCTTTGCCCTCCCCGCTGTCAGGTGACAGTGGCGTGAGCGGCCCGGCACCGGCAGCTCCGGGGAGCCGGAGCCAGAATGCAGCAGGCCGCCATCTCCCAGCAGAATCGGGAGCTGAAATTAGTATATATGGCCGGGGCGCTTAGGCACCACCACCACTTCCACCACCACCTCCACCCTCGCCACGTCCACCGTCTCCACTCCTTTGCAGGGCGCCAGGACGCTGAGCGCCCCGGGGAGTTGGCAGCGGAAGCGAGTCTGAGGGTCAGGGTCAGACTTCCCTGGAGTAGACCCCTCCGAGCGCCCCGCAGACCCAGCGCTGTGCACCCTACTGCCCTTTCCGCGTATCCCTCTGCCCCCATCCTCCGCTGCTCATGGGGCTGCACGGGACGCGGCGGCGGCGGAGGCCCTTAGCCACGCGCGGCCCACTGCGCTCCTTGCCTCCGCCACCTGCCTCCGGATCCCTGCGCTGAAGCCAGAGACCGCGGGGCGCCGCTGGGCCTGCCCCCCGGGGCCCAGGGAGAGCGCGCAGTCCACGCCACTCGTTCTCATGTGCGCTATTTGTCTCGACAACAGGTAGCAGCTCCGGACACCATGGCCCCCAGCTTGCAGCGGTCACCAGCCCCTCGGTGTTCCCTGGTCTCCACGAGCAGCCTCCCCGGGCCTCCCCCGGCAGTCCTTTGAATGGACTCCTCCATCTAGGGCTCCCTGGAGACATGTACGCTCGGCCTGAGCCCTTCACGCCCCGGTCCGCAGCCTCCAGCGACGCCCTGGTAGCTGCCGCCGCTCTGCATGGTTATGGTGGCATGAACCTGACCGTGAACCTCGCCGCACCCCACGGCCCTGGTGCCTTCTTCCGCTACATGCGCCAGCCCATCAAACAGGAGCTCATCTGCAAGTGGCTGACGTCCGACGGCCCCGGGTCCCCGCGTCTCTGCTCAAAAACTTTCAGCACCATGCACGAGCTGGTCACACATGTCACCGTGGAGCACGTCGGCGGCCCGGAGCAGGCCAACCACATCTGCTTCTGGGAGGAGTGTCCGCGCCAGGGCAAGCCGTTCAAAGCCAAATACAAACTTGTAAATCACATCCGTGTGCACACGGGCGAGAAACCCTTCCCTTGTCCTTTCCCGGGGTGTGGGAAGGTCTTTGCTAGATCAGAAAATCTCAAAATACACAAACGAACCCACACAGGTTAGTATTCTGTCTCGTGCGAAACCTCGCGGGAAGCAGGCATCCTCTTCCCGGCCCTTGGGGCTAGATCTTTCTAAATTCCAAACGGGGTGGGGATGTTTTGTTACTTGGCCTCAAGGCCGTAAAATATTAATTATGCGCTTCTATTCTTAGAGTCCTAGACGTTTCCAGAGGCTGGGAAGGGGGGGAAGGCAGTGGTGGGGTTTTAGTTTTCTGGGAGAGAAGATGGACATAATTGGGTTCTCATGAGTGCAAACATGTCCTCCTCTGTGCTCATGCTGCTTGATTTAAGGCATAAGAACATTATCACCTAACTTTCCACAGTCCTTTGGAATCACTTGCCGAGAATTCCTCTATCAGCTTTACCAGCTGACAGCCACCAGGACTGAGCAGTCATCAGCTACTTGGTGCCTTGTTTTGGAAGCAGATACCTTATACTGCACCTGACAAAAAACATAGGTTTTATCTGGACCTGTTTTGGAGCCTCCAGAGTCCGGTCCTTGGAATGTTTTGAGAAGCTCTCCTTTTTTGTCCTATCAGAGACCCAACGGGACCCATCCTCCTAAATTGTCATTTACCGAGCTGTTAAGTGAAATGGGGACATGTGTCAACCACATCTGTTACTTCTAGTTAGCAAAGAGACAAGGAGCTGTGTGCCAGAGCCCGCAAAGTTGAACTCCTCCGTCCAGAAGCGTTTCTCATTAATACCACTGAAAGGAGAACGTTTTCACACTTCCCAGAAGAGCCTGCGAAGTTCCATTTATTAGTGTAGTAGCCCAAACTTTTAGTTACATGTATTGATTTAGATGTCTCTGCTCTTCTAAATCAGAGATGCTGTGTCCTCTCTCCTCCTAAGTTTAAGAAGTCAACATCTCCCCTCCCTCACTTTGGGGGCGGAGCAGAAAGGCTTCTGGGGAGCTCAGAAAAGAAGTTCCAAATTGGTGCCCCCCTCTCCTCCACAACATCCTCCTGTCTTACTCACCTCCATTCTTGCTGGAAATATCAGCAATTGTTACAAAGAACAGCCTGAGGCTGGCAAAGGCCAGGGAAACAGATTGCTTACATCTTGTCTTTGCTCCAAACCCTGCTTGCTCAGGAAGCCATCGGGCCCAGACACTCAGACAAGCGGAGGCTCTCTGACCAAAATCTACACTGAGTTCTGTACTTTCCATCCGCAGCAGGTCTGGAAATACACGGTTTCCCCCCACCTCCCCGAGCCCCGCTCACTCCCCAGCCTCCCTGCACCTCTCCGGCAGCTGGAGGCCCCCAGAGTTTTGTCCCAATGGGGGAAAAGTTGGGACCATTCCTGATTCTGACTCTCGGGACTGACACTCCAGAAGTTGGGCCCCGTGACCGTGAATGAAGACCAACTCTGAGGAGAAGGAACTCATCCTTAATGACAGGGAGGTTTTTAAACAAACTTTTACTGCTCTTTACCGGCCCACTGTTTGAAGTCTGTGAAGCAGAAAATAGTTGAATTCTTAGTTCAATCAACCTACAGCAGAGAAACAAGTTCAGCGCTCCGGGGTTGGCTCAATTTTGCCTCTATTCGGGACAGAGTTCGAAGTGCGTCCTTTCCGCTGGAGATCCAGATTCATTAAGGAAAAGAAAAGGGGGGGGGTAATCTACAAAGCATTGGTGGCTCCAGAGTTTCCCACAAGCCCCTCCCGCATCGCCCTCCCCGCCCCCCGCCCGTGTAAAATGAGGGCGGAAAGGGAAAACAACAACAAACCCCACAACTCCAACAAAATGTTTCTCAAAAGGCAATAGACCTCGTTACAAATTATTCATGAAGACAGTTCTCGATTCAACAGGAAAATAATTGCCTTTTCAAATATTAATGACGTTTCATTTCCTCGAGTCTCGGAAGAGGTGAACAGGAGCTGTTTTCTTAGGAGTTGGGATTCTCCAAGATGCGAATCTCGGCTTGGGCTTCTGGGGCGGCTGTGCCAGGCCGCGCCGATAGGTTTCACTTGGCGCCAGCCGCTGCGAGCCTGGAACAATGGTGCCGCCGCGGCCCGGCCGCGGGCAGCCTGTGCGCTCTGCTCCGACCCCGCGCCTGGCGCGCCGCGGGACTCCGCGGCCGGAGCTCGCCCTACCTTCGGGGAGGCGGACGGAGAGGCAGGCTTAGGAAGCCGAGGAACCGGAAGCGCCCAGACAATCTGGTCCAGCCACAAGTGAGAGAAAATGGCGCTGGCCAGGCTGTCCTGACGCTTCAGAACTTTGTCGGATGGGCCAGGCGCAAGGACTGGAGAGGAGGCCTCTTCTGGCCACCGAACCAAAGGGAGGAGACACTCGGCCTTTCCCAGGCGCAGCCCAGGGGCCCAGGCCGCCCCGGGAGTGCTGCAGGGACCAGATCAAACGCGGCCTCTCCACTTCCACCTTCCCACCCAGGGGCCGTGCCGGGTCGCGGGGGGCGGGGTGTGGAGGCGGGGTGCGACTGATTGCCGGGTGGGGTAGAGAGAGGGAGAGACCAGGGCGCCTCCTGCAGCTCAGCAGAGGCCCGAGCGCGCAGGGGCGCAGCCTCACCTGGCCCTCCAGAAACCTGGGGGATTCCAGGCTACCCGTGCCTCCTCAACGCCCTGTTTTTTTGTTTGTTTGTTTGGCCTTTGCTCCTCGGCTGGAGCGAAATCTTTGTTTCATTTTTATGTCTAACGCGAGAGGCTCTAAAAATGGGATTAGAAGGTAGCGGATCTTTTTTTTTTTTAATGAAGGATGTAAACTTAAAATTCCGTTCCTCTCGTCGTGTTAGCAAAACTCTGCTTTCTGAATGGAATAATATTTTTGTGCGTTCAGAAAGAAAAGTAGAGAGAGGGAAAGTTTTTATTTTGCAGATGCTGGCAGAGGCAAGGGGGGAGGGGACGAAGGGCAGACAGGAACACTGATTTATTCTGCATCTTCCTCCTGCTGAGAAATGGCGGATGCCACTGTCTTAAGAAGGCTCAGTGTACCAACAAAACTCTTGTAGAGGGAGGATGCTGAGTCTGATGGTGCCGCAGCCCGGGGCTCACACCAGCCTATCCGCATGGAGGCGCGGGGTGCGCGCAAAGCTCCGGTTCAGTCCCAGCCTCAGCGGAGCTCCAGACCAGGAGCTTTGTTTGACCACCAGAGTACAAACTTGGCCACAGAGCGCCAGACTCCCTCCCCTGTAAAAGGCGAGAAAAGAGACCACGGAAGCCATAAGACCCAACTCGGGCATCTCTTCCTCCCACTCAGCCCCTTTAGTTGTTTCCCTGGTCTGTGGCGCCAGGCGACATTAATTTGTTTAAAGCTTACAAGACACCTCCCCCCCTTTCTTGGAAAACGTGAAAGTCCTCCAGGAATCTGGGTTTCCCAGTTCCAGGGTCCTTTCCTTCTCCCCACGCCGGCGAACAGTGCCGTCCGCCAGCGTCTCCAGGTGGCGTGGTCCTCTGCGGACTGGTCCACCCGAGTCGGCACTCCAGCCTCATCTGGCCTTGACCGGCTTCGCGACCACGGGCCTGCGCCCCTCGCTGGCGGCCCGGAACCGGCTGGATTGCCCACTCGCCCTCCGATCTGTATAGCCGGATGTGACCGATGCCCACGCGCTTATCCCGTAGCCGCTGCGCGCAAGGGCGCGGTTGCAGGAGAGTCCTGCTCTGCTGAGGCACCCAGAGAGGTCGCCCCTTGGCTCGGGTCTTCGAGTCGGGAGAACCAGGGTGGAGTGAGGGAGGGCGGCTGGGCCGCCTCTAGCCTCGCCTCGCGTAGTCCGCTAAGGCAGTGTGGTAAAATACTGCGGTTGCGGTTGTGGGGTGGGGGGATGGGGGGAGATCCTGGACGATTTAAGCAAGATTTTAAGAATGCTGTTAAATGTCCTCAGGGGGTAGGAGGAAAGGGGAGGAGGCTCCGTTTCCTGTAAAAATCTTCTGTGAAGTGAATCATTGCTCAGAATACCTTTCCCTACAGCATGAATCCACATTACGCACACGCTATGTGCATCGGCTGCACATCCTGAAATTTATTCCACCGTCTTGGCATTTGCACAAAACCCAGTAAAGTGGCAATTTGGGCTGGGACGCGGCATGTGCTGGGGGCGAGAGGGGGATGCGTGTGGCCGGCGACGTCAGGGAAGAGGAGGCTTAGCTATGTGGCCTAGCAATTTTAAATCCAACAGATGCATGCTCCTAGGGCAACTCTATTCTCTGGACAGAGGTGCTTCTGGCTAGGGGGAATTGAGAGAAAATAGCCCGGGAGAATCAGGTTTTTCAAAGTTGGCAATACAACTAAAATGGAGTCAGTCTTGCTCCTCCTCCATACCCTCCCCTAGACACAGTCGGGAGAGTCGGAGGGGAGAGGGTGTGGGGCGGGAGGTCGCGCTGTGCGCCGGGAAGGAGGTGCACAGCCTGAGGTGCGCTGCAAAAAGGGTTTCTAACTTAAGGGGGGAAATTATGGTTCTATTTTAGAAAGTGAGAGAGGAAATGAGAGTATCGTGGCACAGGCTGGACTGGTGCTCGGCCCACGCGCGCTAATGTCTCTGCGTTGTCTCCGCCAGGGGAGAAGCCCTTCAGGTGCGAGTTCGAGGGCTGTGAGCGGCGCTTTGCCAACAGCAGCGATCGTAAGAAGCATTCGCACGTGCACACGAGCGACAAGCCCTACACGTGCAAGGTGCGCGGCTGTGACAAGTGCTACACCCACCCCAGCTCGCTCCGCAAGCACATGAAAGTGCACGGGCGCTCGCCGCCGCCCAGCTCCGCCTACGACCTGGCCACTCCGGCCGCCCTGGCGCCTCCTTCCTCCGACTGCGGCCGCGAGCCCCCAGTGGCCTCCTCCGCGGCGGCGGTGGCGGCGCGTGGCGCGGACCTGAGCGAATGGTACGTGTGTCAGGGCGCGCGGGCCTCGCCACCACCGCCGCCCCAGCCGCTCCCCCCAAGTCCTGAGCCACCACCTAGGCCTGCTGCAGAGGCAACCTTCAGGCTTCTGGCTGCAGCCCTGGCCACTGCTCGGTGTTGTTGATCCTTGAGGGCGAGGGAGAGAGAAAGGAAGGAAGGATAAAAGGCAGGGAGGGAAGGATGCAGGACACAGGGGTAAATGTTTGATAAAGCTCTCTAAATGCACTGACAATATCTATTACAGTATAAACCTGGTCCATACATTTACTCTACAATCACATCCTTTCAAATCCACAGTGCAAGCACACCAGATCACAGCTGCCTGTGTAGCGAGAAACCAATGTCAGGGGTAAAGAGAGGAGAGCAAGAGACACTGAAAAAAGTATTCGGAGAATTAATGCACAATCCTGACAATGGCTGGCGGCAAAAGGCAGGTCACAAAATTTGTCGTGGTTCAGAAAATGGGGAGTGTTTTCCTTAAAGCTTGGCTCACTGTAAGCCCCATCCCCACACAGCTCCAGTGCAGTCCGTTCCACCAGTCATCCCTCTCTCGTGGAAATTCTCAGCCAAGGAGGTGGCAGAAGAAATGTCAAAGCCATTTTCTTCCCCCCTGTTTCCTTCCTCCGTCCCTCCACCCCCGGTTTCCATTCCTACCCCCCAACCTGGCTCTGAGATGAAAATAGATTAGAACTAGACCCCAAATATTCCCTGTAAGTACTTCTGGAATAGGACCCAGGGTTTCAGCCCTCCCTCCCTCTCAGGCCCTACGCTCTCCAGAGGCAAATCGGGCCTCAGCACCTCTAGTCGCCTGTCCGCCTATCGGGCCTGAAGGCACCACACACATTATAAACAAAGGCCAAGGAAGAGGCCACCACAAGTAAATATAAAGAAAGTAAGAGAGAGAGGAACTTCAGGGTTCAGTGCCGCGAGTCGTCTTTCAACACATCACTCCCTTTGCTGCCTCTTCCAGCCTTGTTGCTGCCTGTGGAATCTCCCGGGGACCTGGGCCTGGGCCGGGAAGGGAAAGCCGCCCAATGACGTCACTGCCTGACAGTCCCGCTAGCTGGAGGGACTGGTCAAGGCGACAGAGTCTGACTGAATCTCATTAAGTTTGTGAGGATCTTTGTCAAATTACTCAGTCTTGGTCCTAAATTTAAAAGAGGAATGGTATAGGAGGAATGAACTGGAGTAATAAATGTTGTCAAAGCAAACTCCCAATAGTTCTACACTGTGTATGTGTATGATATGCTGGGGACCAATGCTGCAGAAAAAGAACCAGATGTTGGGGTCTGTGGAAAGGCATTTGCAGTTGTTGGTAGGTTGAGAGGGACAGGTATAATCAGGGCCTCTTTCCCAGCTAGACCCTCTCTGCAGAGAAACAAGTACTGCGACAGGATTCTAGCTGAAATGTGAGGAAAGAAAATTAAAAACAAGCAAACAAACAAAAACTCTGGCAGACCTACCCTAGTTCCCTAACAATTCGGAATAAAATTGGAGAGAGATATTCCCACCTGGGAGGAGCCCTCCCCTTCCCGCAATGAGCTCAGTTTTTAAAGCTAAGCCCAGCAAAGGACTCCAGTCCTGACACACTGTCGATTTTTCTCTCTTGCTCTTCCCATTTCAGACACCCTTGGATAATTCTCACTGCACATCTTCCGTCCGCACTAACTGCAGTGGAACTCTTCCATTATCCCGGATATAAAACCCAGGATCTTGCCAATGGTTCCTTCCTTAGTGAACCCTGACTTTAGAAGGGAGACTACCCCTCCTTCCTCCATGACATTAACGCCCAGAGGCCGCCAGGCTCACCATAGGCGGCCAGTGTCCAACAACCGGTTCCCTACAACTCCCTCCTCTCGCCAAGGTGCAGAGGGTAGCTGGGGAAAACTTGTTCCTTCTGCTGAGATTCCAAAAAGTTTTCCCCTTTCTTTCTCCTCTGTCTCTAGGCCTCCCGTTTTGCCTTCCACCCCCTTTCCAAAATAATGAAATAAAATAAAAATGTTTGGTCGGTCACTAATCGCCTTTAATTTTTCATTTGCTTGTTACAGATGTCCACCGCGTTGCTCGCAAGGTAATCTCGCCCGGCGCAGCTGAGTGCTCGCATCTCGCGCCTGCAACATCAAAGGGCCCGCTCACAAAGCAGTGTTTCTTCGCCACGGTGCATCTTCACGGTAAGTTAGAATTTCTATGGCAATGGGCAAGTCGCACTGAAATCCTGAAAGGCCGAGCCTGGAGCCCGTCCAGGCTTTTCATTAAGGACATAATATTTACGTCTAACAGGCCTTTTTTCTTGTGTATACAAGTATATATTTTTGTTTGACGCGGACTAAATCATTTTCATTTAATTTCCGGTAAACAAAACCCACGCGAATGGGCACTTGTTCCCGATCATAATAAAAATGGATAATAATGTGAGGGAAGAAAAGGGCCGCTTGAATCACCGCTCAGCCCCCTTTGTTTCTGCTTTCTGCGGTGATCAGAGGGCGCATTTGGGTTTGATGGCGAGTTTCTAAAGGCGAGGAAATGGTTTGTAACAGGGGAAAGAAAAGGAGAAAGGTCTAATCAAGCTCGGGTTGTTCAAAGAGTCGGGTTTTGGGGTTGAAAGTGTGAGTTTGACGGTGCATCAGCATGCCGCGTTAGGCTCGCCATGGAAATGCGCGCGGGGAGCGAGGCTTCAAAGGCGGCACACTTCGCCGCAGACACTCTATTAAGATACATTTGCGCTGACCTTTGCTTTCACGCCATTTAATACTGTCACTGCGCTCTCCAGTATATACTTCCTCCCAAAGACCTGCCTCGCCACGTTTAGGGGTTCACTTTGAGCCCAGATGTGGGGAGCTTTGGCACCCGGGATGCTTTCAGAAAAGGGTGGAACCGGACTCTGCCCATCTTGACTATGCCCCAAAGAGGCTCCAGGGTCCGGAGTAACCGACTTTAGAGAAACTTCAGAAGCTTAACAAACGAGCGACTCTAGCTTGGCTTGGTGCAAAGCATCCCTCAGAATCCTGATCGAGGCAGAGACCAGAGTTTGAAGGGGATTTGAGGGAAGGGAGCCACCATGGAGGAGTCTGAAGGGTTCAGCCGTTCCATGCAGATAGTTCGCGCTGGAGCCTCACACAGCCTGTTCCGTTTCTTCACCCCACAAGCCTCTTGAGGTTCCCAAACTAGTTTCCTCAAGACTGTGTGAGACCCTTCAAGCCTGGGCTGGCCCTGGGCACAAATTCAAGAGCCCAAGGCCAAGAGGATGCGGAACATGGCAGGAAAGTTAGAAGTCCATGTTCCCTTAATTGTCTTGTTGTTTATTTTATCCAAGTACCCCAGTGAATAGGGGAAAAATAAACATGGTGGAAAAAAAAATCAAACAGTGGAGTCTTCTTTAGTGCCAGTCCTTGTGGTTGAATAAAAAGGATGGTCCGCTTTCCATTGAACTGAGAAATCTTTGAAGTGGGAGTTATTATCTGAGACATTCCTGCTTGTCGTCCTAACAACGCTGATGAAATGTAAAAGGTTCTTTGTCAACGATTTGTTCTCCTCTCTGTCAAACTCTCCCTGCCCCGTTAGTTTCAAACCGTTTCTAAAGAGATAAAAATCAAACTTCTTTAAAACACACACACACACACACACACACTCAGATGCATTGCATACTAATATAACTTTGAGGCTAAGACTTTCTAAGGGAAAAACACAAGGACATCAAGGCCAGGACCTGGTGATGTGTGCAGATGTTGGCGGGTCCTTTGCAGAAGCTGTGGGACACGGGAAGAGACTACGGAGAGGATGAAGGCAGAGGAGATGGACTTCACACCCAGGCTTGTGTATCTGCCTCTCTCTGCTAAGACTTTCAACAAGTTTAGGATGGGTCATCTGGATGAGGTTCCTTGAGGCCCTGACAATAGTCCAATATTTTTACCCAGGAACCTAGGAGCCTAAAGCTGCAGTCAAGCAACTGCTAAAATTTCCTGTTCTTCCAAATGCAACCTCTGCTAAAAATAGACCTACTGTGTGTTCCTCCCACTAGCTAAAATCAGTGAGTTCTTTCTGCTGTTGATAGAGAGGAGAGTGGATTGTAGAAGAGGGTCGTTTTGAAAATGTCCTGTTTCCTTCAAAACCTTGGCAACTGGAGTTCAGAATATCTGGAGTCTGTGATAGTTACCCTAATGTGCATGCACCTCCCTACACATGTGCAGTTTTTAGTTTCATATCATGCCTAGGAAAGAAACTTTTATCCTGCCCAGCTTTCCTCAAATCTCCCGTTGTGGTTTTAAAAATGGTTTCTAAAATCCCCACCCTGTGTGTGCTGACTAAATGATTTGTAAAGAAGTTTCCCCAAGCTGTAACCCATGCTGTTATTATAGTTGCTGCAAAATGTTGTCTCTTATATTGATTTTTATTTGTTTACTGGAGGTCTCCACATGTTTGTTTATATCACTAATTTATGGGGGAAATGTGATGATCACAATGAATGTAAATTATCCAGACAGGCAAAGGTTTTGTAATCATAATTCTCACACACACACACACACACACACACCCGACGGAAACCTTAGAAACCCACATTTTGTGATTCATCATCTGTCCTTTTAGCATTAATTAAATGATGAAATATCTAGAAAGGGGGCAAAAAAGTTGTATTTGATGGAAAGTGGTTGTTGAACGAAAAACACTGTTGAAAGCTGTGGCTTAGTCTTGCTGTAAATATGTACAGAATGAATAAAATCTGTGATCTTTTCCTTCTCCAAAGACATTGTGTACACGGACCTCCGTTTTGCTATTTTATTTGCAAATAAATGACGTGATGTTCTCCTTCATATTTTGAATCCTAGTGTTCTTTTATTGCCTCAGTTTTATGGAAGACAGTTGAGGCTTGCCCACAGCATCCAGTCATGTCCTCTGTCTTCCTTCAATGTTTTACAGAAACACTTTGGGTGGAGGGAGGACTATTTATTGGGGTCAGTAAACATGAGAAGACCCTAGAGACCAGTCATCTTTGGAGAGACCACTTTCTCTCCAGGTTCACCCCAAAGGTATAAGCACAGTAGCAGCACATTTACATTACATGGGACAAGCTGTTCTCAGTGTCTGCTGGAAAAAGCAGCCTTCTCTGGGCTTCAAGTGCAATGGATCCATTTGATCACACCAGTCACATAAAGATTTTCCAGAGAGAGTAGCTTGCGGGAAAGTGGGAATAGAAAAGGAAAAGAAAGGACTGGCTTATGTTAAGCTTTGTCTAAGCTCTGTTGCAGGTGTGTAGAGTGCACAGTTGCCCACAGAGGTCTTCTTAGCTGCACCGGCCCTTCCGGGAATAGGAGATGCTCAGGCCTGAGAGTTCCCCTCAGCTGCGAGGGCAGAACCTTGAGACCATGAGCTTACAGCACTCAAGACATTTCCCTCAGCCCACACTTTCATTTTCAGTAGATTTTAGCATCTGAAATTGCCTGTTTTATCCGATCCTGCCTCTGAGGAACAGAACATATTTCAGGTCTGTCCGAACCTCCTTTTAGGTTTTTTGTTTTGTTTTTAAACCAGAAGGCTCCCCAGTCCCTTTTGGGTCTTTGCGTTTCTGCACCCTGGCATCCAGCTCCCCTTTCTTCCCCCTTTCTGCTCTGGAGACACTTCCTGGAACAATCCACCTGACTCCTTTCTAACCCTGGAGAAGTGAGTTAGTTTAGAAGTGAGTTAGCTTAGAAGTGAGTTAACTGGGATAGAAGTCACGGGAGGAAGGTGGTAGGGCAGCGGGCTGAGTGTGTGTGTGTGTGTAGATAGGACTGTTGAGTACCTTGGAGAAGTGCTGGTAAACCAGGCACAGAGGCACCGAAGACAGCGAAGACAGCTTGAGAAGACCAGAGACAAACCTTCTCAAGACTGTGTGAAAAGAGAGGCCATGAAGGAAAAACCACTAAAACTGTCAAGATATGAGCAAAGTGGTGGGGGCCTCACAGAGGCCAGGGACCTTCATGCTGTAGTGAAACTAGCGCCCCCTCTTTCCTCCAGTGGGCTCCAGCCAGTTTGCTTTGCTTTTATTGGTTTTAGGTCTTCAAGAAAGTGCACTCATTAAAGCTTTTCACAGAGGTGAGTGGTGGTGGAGGATGTACAGATTAAGAAGGAAGCCAGACACCCCTGGCCTGTGCTTATTTGGGTTCCTGAACTCCTTGCCAACCCTCTGCATCAAGTTTATCTAAAAGAATCTCTACCCTTACCGTTGTCCCTTCAAACCCCTTGCTGTTCAGGAAAACTTCAATGATAGCTTGACTCATCCCTGGGAATGGAGTGGGGTCCTGGCAATTAATTGTTAGCTGACCTGACATAGAATAAGAGAAGGAAAGACCCCTCTTTAAAGAATTTACATTTCAAAGAAGTCAGAGTTGGAGTGAGGATGGGGGTAGTGGAGGAGGAAAAGGACATACTCAAAGAGGTGAAGCCTCCTCTTTCACATTGGACATGCTGTTAGGAGGGACCTGTCCTTGGAAAAAGACAACATGCTTGCAAAGGTGGAGGGTCAGTTTAAAAGAGGGACATCTTCAACAAGATGGATTGACATGACGACTATAATGATGGGTCCAAGTATATTGGAGATGATGAGGATGGCACAGGATAGAGCAGAGTTCAGATCCATTGTTCATAGATAAGGTCGCTATCGGTTAGTGTCAACTCAGTGACACACAATAACAATAACTGATACACCTTAGCACAAATGCCGCAGGGAGAGCCCCAACTTCCTTTGAACCAATACTTTTGACAGAATGTTGACTGACAGAATGCGGAGGGTTGAATTAGCTGGAGCAAGTGTTGCTGGGTAATCTCAACCTAGAATCACCTCCTTTGTCTAGGGAAGTTTTACACCTCTGGCTCTGTACCTCAGATTGCTGACAAGCTCCACCAGCTTCTTTTCCTCCCTCTTTGAAAAAGCATTAGAGAAAACCTGTTGCTTGGAGCCAGACTGCCCAGCTCGACCAGTTAACTGGCGGTGTGCCTTTGTACATTTAATGTAACCTCTCTGTGCATCAATGTCTTCATTTGTAGAAGCAATTATAAAGAGCTTCTCTAATAATAAGCTTATTGTTTTAAAGTTCTTGAGACACTTTGAATTTACAAGGTCTTGTTTTTTGTTATTGTTACTGATATTGCTAGTGGATCTATCAGACACTTCTTCACCTTCTCTTGAATCAGTCACTACCTCCAGTCCATTCTAGAAAAGAGGATACTGCCAGGAGTCACCCCTTCTCCAGCAGCACAGCAGGGCCACTACCTCCAGGCAGTCCAGAGGCTAGGTGATGGTGTTGAAACCCCACCTAAGTTTACCTTCCCTGAGCCAGCCCCATGCTCTGTGATGCAGGGCACAAAGGTGTAGATGTAATTTATTTTGCAAAAATCTAAAACAAAATTAGACTACCTCTAAATTAGAAGAGTCTAATTTTTTCTGCGAGCTGGAGAAAACCAATTGCCTTAATGTCACTTCCACCTCCTGCACCCCTCCGCCCCTCCACCCCCCCCACCCGTTAAGCAGCGGGTCTACCCAGATGCTGATTTATTTTAATCATAAGCATTTACTATGACTCCAGACTGGGCTTTCCAAGATCCCTGAGTGAAAGGTGATAAAATGCCCCTGGGGGGGGGGGGATGGGTGTAGATGACCAGGAAATCAAAGACTGGGCGTTTGGCCAAAAGTCACACAAAATCACATCTTCCCAGGAAGGATTCAGGACATTTCTGTAATCTGGTTTTCTCTTATTGAGTCTTTATTCTAAGAAATTAACAATACCTTGCTCACCAACTCACCAAGAATACCACAAGCAACATGTTAGATGTCTTAGTCGCCAGCTTCCTGTCTGGGCTTTAGGACATTACTGACTTTTGACTCAAATTTCCTTTCTAATATACTGAGAATGTGTGAACGTTTTCTAAGAACCATAAGAAGCTAAGGAGGTCTTGAATCTTCCAGTGGTTTTGACAACATCCAAAGTGGCTTGGTAAAAAGAAAAAGAAAGAAAGAAAGAAAGAAAGAAAGAAAGAAAGAAAGAAAGAAAGAAAGAAAGAAAGAAAGAAAGAAAG